GGGGGGGTGTCTCCCCCCCCCCAGCCCCCACCAAAGAGAAAAGACTAGCCAAAAGTTTCCGAGCGAAACGCCGCTGATGGCTCACCGGACAGACGCGAGCCCGTGGCTCCAGAGCAGAGAGCCAGCCCCATCCCAGCAGCTGCTGGAGCTAGGTTCTCCCGGAGCAGAGAGCCGTTTAGTGCCTGGCAAGGGTGGAAATCGCTACGAAAACTGATTCAGCTGCTGCCCCCACAGCTGCCCCGAGGCCATGGCCCTTCCCCGTGCAGCGCTGGGGCGCAGGGTGGGATCCCCTTCCCCAGAGCACTGCGGGGCCAAGAGGCTCAGCCGCTGGAAAGACGGGTGAGGGGACCTGGCGGGGATAGACAAGTACTCCTGTCTCCTCTGGAGGGTAGGATCACACTTAACCCACCTGGATTTGCAATGCTGGCCCACCCATTTGGGAACCAAGGAGTCCTGGTGATTAAATGCTCAGAGATAACAGGAGATTCCTCTCCAATTCCCCCCTAAAGTCTCTCTAAATACGAGGTTAATGACTAAACGAAGCACACTACAGAAATGACCCCCCCAGGCCCTTTCCTCCTGCCCGCTGTGTCACCAAGGCTGCCGGGGCACCCCTGTCCCAGGAGGGCTCTCCCCTCGCAGCCTGTGCGGGTTTTCCCCAGGTTATGGCTCTGCTCCATCACGGACGTGACACCGCGGTGCCAAAGCAGCTCTGCTGTGCGATGACCCCCTGCCGCCCTGGGGCTTCACCCCTTCTCCGTGCCCCAGGCTGGCCTTACCCACCCAGGGGTCTTGGGGCCGAGAGCAGCTCCCTTTGGCTCTGCCGATGCCCATCTGGACCCTCTGGGATAACCCAGATCTTGCTCCCTCTCTGCGCCTTTCTCTCACCCGGCACACAGAAGCTCCTGCACTGGGGGCTGCAACTCAGCCCCCCTGGACCGAGGGCTCCACAGGGCAGAGAGACACGATAATTTTACATGATGAGATCAGGTGCGATAAACGAGCCCTGAGGGTGGACGAGTCAGCTGGGTCAGGCAGCACCAACACCTCTCCTCCTCCCCTGCCCAGCTCCAGACGAGGGGCAGGGAGGTCTCGCCTCCAGCGCCGCTCCAGCACCCCAGAAACTGCCCGCAGCTCCGCCCGCACAACCTCCGCCTCCTCTTCTGGCCGAGGGCTGCAGGAGGGCTCAGCCCCTGCCCTGCACAGCTCCACAGCTCCAGCCCAGAGGTGGCTCCTCAGCAGGGACCAAGCTTGCCACTGTCACAGACTACAGGCATCCCATGTTCAGACAGGCTTGCAGACCTCTCAAGGAGCTCCTGTCCTCCTAACACAAGTCTCTACTGTGAGATCTCACATTTTAAGTAGCATTTCTTCTTTCCTCTATTTACCTTAACTCCAAATCAATCCCATTAAACCCACTTCACTACAGCAGCCAAAAGCCCACATTTCTGGCACGACAGAATAAACGTAATTGGAAAACTATCCATTAGGCAATAATTTCATTGTCAGTTGGCTATTAGACTAAGATGTTGTAATTTCTTTGATAACAGTGCCAGTTTTTCCTGTTCTATGTTCATCTGATTACAGCATGATATACTGCTAAAAAGGGATTTATCTGGGCTGTCACAGATACACAAGTAATGTGATTACAGGCAGATCAGCTCTTCCTCTCTGGTGTAGCTCCTATGTTTAGCTGAAACTGGAAATCTAACTTTCCTTCTGGAATGACCTTCATCCAGCCGAGCCCTTGGGATGCACTTGGAGAAAGGATGCTTTTTGTAGGCAAGCTGCTCACAGGGATGAGAGACAACCAGAGCTGGCTTGTGAGGAGCTCAGGGCGCTTTGCAGAGGCAGCACCACACACATGGAAGTGCAGCTACACAATAGGGTGTGCCAGGCAAGGACACAGAGAGGCAGCAAACCGACTCAGGAAAGAAATACCAGAGGGACACAAGGAATCAGAAAGACAGAAAGCAGGCAAGGAAATTAAAGCTGCTGCCAGAGCCAGGGAAGCGGCTGGCTTGAGATTTCTTCATGCCAACTCACTTCCAGGGATCACAGGATCCATGCCAGGTTACTCATGCCAAGGGATGGCACGAGAAGTCTGTGCAGTACCTGCTGCAGTATCCCTTTCTCTGCAAAATAAATGCTAAAACTGTAGCCCTGCCCCAGGCAGCATTACCTTAGCTTTCCCCAGCAGTCATGCTCCAGCTACCAAAGGGAGCCCTTTTGTGACCAGCCTTTTTATAGCATCCAGCTCCCTTTCTGCTGGGTGCTAAGTGGGAGCAGCTGTGGCCCTCCTAGGGCAAGAATTAACTGCATCCCTGCCAAACCCAGAGACCAGGGACCAGTAGACTCAGGTACTGAAATCCCAGCAGGTTTCTATAGCTTTGTAGATCCTGGGTATTACTTGCAACCAGGATTTCCACTGAGGCAGGAGAATGTGCCTGTGCTGATACAGGAAAATGTGCATGGGAGGGGACAATTAGATCAACTGAATTAAGGGCTGATCTCTTCAGCCTTGAGGTTTGTTTGGCTTGCTGGAGGGGTTTTAGTGTAGGGCTTGTATGGTTTCGAGCGTTTCAGATGTCTTTTCCTACAGAGGCTGCTGCAATTCCCCGTCCTTCCAAAAAAGCCCTGCAAACGCCAGCCCCCCTCGGTCTGTAAGGGCTGTAAGATGCATCGGTCTCAGCCGTGCCGCTACCAGACTCTGGAAGATACTCAGCATACAGCCACCTCCATGCTATCACATCAGTTTTTACTGGGTTAGCTTGATCAGTCCTTCCTTGCACCAGGTAGTGTTTGCCCACGAGTCTTCCAGCTGAAGTCGTTTGAGCTTGTTGTGCACTTAAAGTCTTGTTCTCCTGAAGAACCGCTGTGCAGGCTGGAGCTCCATGCCTGGCTCTCCAGCAGAGCGAGCTGGTCACCTCGTTTCTCTAACAGCATCTGCTCAGGACTATCTTGGGCTCTTTCAGGGCTATAACACAAACACCTCTCTAGTAAAGCAGCTGCTCACCCTGAGCTGTAATACCTCAGCTTTAACTCTGCACCAGCTTTTTCTCTGGCCATGCTACTGCAGCCCAAAGCGTCTGCAAATCCCTGAGGAATTTTGGCTCTGCTCTGTGACTCCTGCAAATGGGCATCGCTGGAGTCAGGTCTTTGCAAAGAGCTGTCTCACCGTGGCACACACGAGCAGCTTTTGCACACTCAAAATGCAATGACTTAAGACCCTCAGAGCACCCACCACTCCTTATGCACCTCTCTGATGGGCCTCTGCTGCACGGCCTGGCTGCAGCTGCCTGGTTCCTCCAAAAATCAAGTGTCTCACTGGAAAATGAGTTAGGAAATGTTGGCTGTCTGTCTCACTGTTGTCTTCTTCCTGTGTCCTTCCCCAAGCAGACACATCTCCATCAGAAGCAGCCAACCTCAACACTTCCAACAGCATTGGCGTGAGCGCGCTGTGTGCCATCTGTGGGGACCGTGCCACGGGGAAGCATTACGGGGCTTCCAGCTGCGATGGCTGCAAAGGCTTCTTCAGGAGGAGCGTCCGGAAGAACCACATGTACTCCTGCAGGTAAGGACAGAGGGCACAGAGTCATGTGGCTGAGACAAAACAGTCCTCAGGAGCTGAAGGGCAAAGCCCTCAGAGTGCAGCAGCATGGTTCTTCATCCTCTTTACCCTCTCTGCATCCTCCATTGCCTTCTCTGACCTCAGCCCTGAGCTGGGAAGGGCCAGAGACAGCCCTCACTCTGGGATTGCCCTCCAGTGATCACTGGGGAAAGATCCTGTTCTTTAGGGGCCAAGCACATGTTCTTTGCAAATGGATGTGGCCACCCACGGATAAAAAAGCAAGCAAGGCGGTGCTGGGGGGAAACTTTATTAGACGGGCTGAGCACCTTGCTACTCTGTGCTCTGTGCTCACTCCCCGGAGGCACTTCAGTGGCCTCCCATCCCGTCTCCATCACAAGATGGAGGTGTGTCTGCCATCTACCTAAAAGGCTGTCACTGCCTGTTACATGATGAAAGAACATCTAAGGACACGAGCTTGGCAGCGTAGGGTGCACATCCCTGCGGATGAGACACGCACGTTGCTCCTACAGCTCATGCACTGCACCTCGCGTCTTGGTGGTAGCCCACGGCTCTCCTGTGCCACCAAGGGCTGTGACCTGCCTGCTCCCTGCTCTCAGCAACGGAGACACCGAGTCGCAGGGGAAACCAAGGATTCCTCAGCTCAGTCTGTCTAAATCACTCGGGCCTTTTGAGTGAGTTACTCCCGAGGGCCTGACAGCCACTTGGAGAGCGTCAACAACAACGTGACTCTAAAATTTGAGTGACAGAAAGAAGCCCCAGGTTTACCAGTGCACACGAATCACTTGCACCCCAGGGCTACTGAGGCTGGCTGCCCAAGGAGCTCCCTCCCCACAGCTCCAGCGGGAAAAGCCAAGGTGCCCAGTTCTTTGGAGAGTAGGGCTTTTATATGAATGCTACAGAAATGCTTAAAAAGCTGCTTTCAGGCATCCATTTGGGGAAACCTTAGCTTGGGGTGTTAAAAAGTACAGTAGAAGCAAGGCTTTTCAAAAGCTACAGAACTGGGCATGGCTGGGAGCCCTTTCCCAGCCCTGTACGCCTTTGTCTTTACTTTGCAAGCTTGATCAATCAGCAGTAAATTAGAGCAAATTGGCAAGTGAAATTCATGCTGCAAATGGCTACCACGTTTGTGCTGCGTGCAAGAGCCACACACATGGGATATCAGTGTTTGCCCCGCCATGTGCGATGAATGTGGGGATACAAGTGTGGAGGGAAGGAGCTGGTTGCCTCCCAAGTCCTCTCTGAAGCACAGGTGGCTGCAGAGCTGTTTGCACACCAGTGATGCTGTCCAGAGGCCAGAAGCAACCTGCCTGGATCTCAAACACAGCCCTGGAGAGATGCAGGGACTTAAACCCACTTCTTAACCTTACTAGCTCCATAACAACCTTCTAGCCTATTTTTTTATTCAGAATAAAAGATTTTTTCCTCACTTCTAACTGGGATCTAACACAGCAGAGGCTACCAAGGTGGCTCTGACCCTCCTGGCTCACACTTTTAACTTCACTGGGGCTTGATAGTCCTTCATGGGCATCCTGTGCCTATTGATTAGTGAGTAAGAGGAGCAGCCTGAGCTCCTGCATGCAAGTGTCAGCTCTAGCCCATCCTTATTGAACATCCAGAGGTAGAGCAGGGAGCGGAGATGTTCAGTGCAAAGAAGAAACCTCAGGTTAAAGCAAGCATGGAAATGGCACAGACTGAGGCTCCTTTCTTAGGGTGAGCCTCTGAGGACCTGCTCTGAGCATATCTTGGAGCTTGGGGCTCTGTCTTGTTCTGTCTTTTCCTGCTTTCAGGCTGTCGTGCTGCTCCTCACACCTCTCTTTCTTCCCAGGTTTAACAGGCAGTGTGTGGTAGACAAAGACAAAAGAAACCAGTGCCGATACTGCAGGCTTAAGAAGTGCTTCCGAGCAGGACTGAAGAAGGAAGGTGGGGGACGGCGTGGCTTCCCCCTGGTCCCCCCCCCACGACTCACTTCCTCCTGCTCCCCCCAGCAGCACTCACACTGGCTGCATATGTCTGAGGCCAGTCCCTGCCATGTACACGCTTGCCCAGCCATCTCAGCCCTGTCTTCCCTCCACAGTGCTCTCCTGTGCACAGATCCAGACCCCCAACACAGGGGGGTTTAGGGAAAGTTTTAGCGTCCAGTCGTGAGCTCTGCATGTGCCCAACCTGCCCACTCCCACCCATGCAAAGTCCTTGCAAGCAGCCATCGTCCCAACACTTAAGGGCAAAGCATGGGGCCCCGCATGCTCCCAAATTCAATTCCAGGGCCTCTTCTCAGGGCACCTCTCAAAATGCCAGCAAAGACAAGCCCACAAGAGTGCCACAGGGCCATACTTGTGCTTGTCCACACAAATCACACCCAGGCCTCTTCAGCTCACTCTCGCTCACACTGACACACACACCGCCTGTGCTCCCACACAGCTGGGGCATCTGAGCAGTCTGGGAGCACTTCTCAACACCAGTGAGAAGCAGAAACTTTGAAGAAGGCCTGGAAATTTGGAAATACTTTGGGAAAACTGCTCTAAGTGCTGTTGCCCCAGCGTCACCATGAAATCCACAGCTGGATGGGTGAGTCCAGCAAAGGTCCAACTGTCATTTGGCCCCTTTTTTTCCTAATGTGCATGTAGGTTCTTGCTGGCCCTCTGCAGAAAGCTTTGTTTTATCTGATACATCAGCCACAGCAGAAAGGACCCAGAGCAAAGTGGAGCATTTTGGCTATTTAAATCCATATAAAATGAGTAAAGATATCCACTCCCTGCATGGCTCAAGGCTCACCCCACCAACTTCCCTGCCTCCCTGTCTCTGCAGCCCTCCCAGGACCCCGTGACTCAGACATGACAGGACAGGATTCACCTCTTATTTAGCCCTGCTTGGTTCTCTGGAGTATTCACAGTGGCAAGGAAACCTGAGGCTGTTGTGGTCCTGCCAGTGGCTGCACTGGTGGCCCTGGTGGTGGCCCCACTGATGACCCTACTGGTGGTCCTGCTGGTGGCCCTGTTGCTGGAGGGACAAAAGGAGCTGCCTGGCACCCTGCAGAGCTCACCCCATTGATGTCTGCAAAGGGACAACCGGGAGGCATTTGGCCCTGTTGTTCCTTGTAGAGAAATTAAGCCCTGTGCTCCTCCCAGTTCACAACCCCTTGAGGAGAAACATAGGAGGAAAGGGGTCACTGAAGACAAGAGGGAAGTACCAGCGGTATCTGGGCAGCTTCCGCAGAAACACCGGCCTGCGAGAACACCTTTGAGCAGCAACATTTCTTCCCTGTTAAAGGGGATGAGGTATTGCAAGGAACTTGGCTTGACTTTTTGTGAAGAACACAGGAATCCTCCTCTCCCTGCAGCGCCCGCTCATCCCATGCCCAGAGCTTTGCTGCTGTCTGTTAATATTCAATAGAAGTTACATTAGGTGCATGACCAGCTAATACTGAGCAAACATTTGGAAAACATCATGGCGTGACTGAACTCGGGGGCCTGCTACTGATAACAAGTGGCATAACCTTGAGAGCTCCTATTTACAGCCGCTGACTGCAGGGCTTTTCTTCTGGCCCAGCCTCATTATTGCTTTTTATCAGGAGGATTTATACATTGAGAACGTATCAATCCAAAGAGCCACCAGCCTCAGGCAGGGATTGTTCTGTTTCCCCTGCCATCGATCAATACCTTATTTGAGCAGACGGCTTTGACTGGCATGGCCGTGGTGAGTTCCAGCCAGCCCACGGTCCCATGACAGACAGAGAGGCAAATCCTCCCCCTCAGCACTCCTGCTTCTGCTCTGGCTGCTGCCACCTCTAGACTCAATGCCCAGGTCCTCAACACCAGACCAAGCAGGGAGGCACGTTGGGGTCAAACCTGTCCCGTGACTCTCTTTACAATAAAGTATGACAGAGCTCTGTTGCTCTGGATAGATAAGTAGGAGCTGCTCTGCCCTTCCTTCCTTATTGTAGCTTAGACAGAAGTTTTTTCCAACTGCACCTACCTGGTGCAAGAGCCTCACGAAGGAGGAAGTCCCGTGGACAGACAAAGCAGCCATGCAGATACTCAACTTCTCCATTTCACACATAAGCTTTTGGCTGCATGCATGAGCATAGTCACTGTTTCAGACCCCATACCTTACAATCAAAAAACTTAAAAGCCAGATCCTTTGAAAGGAAAATTTCCCATTGAACTCTGCAGGCTTTGAACCAGCTGCCTGGGCTATGAAACGACCCTGTCCCAGCACAGACTAATAAAGTGAATGTGAAAACAGAACCACAGATGTAGTGCTCTCACAGGCAGCCCTTCACAAACCAGACACAGCTGCACCTCTGCCCTGCCAGGCAGGGAAGCTGCGAAACTGCAGCTAAGGAAGGGGAACACCAGAAGTCTGTGCTAGTTTTTGGTGTGCATTGCCATGAACGACCTGCAGCTCAGCCAAAATACTCTCTTGCAGCTGTACAAAATGAACGGGACCGAATCAGCACCCGGAGATCAAGCTATGAAGACAGCAGCTTGCCCTCCATCAATGTCTTACTGCAGGCAGAAGTCCTGGCACAACAGGTACCTCTTCTTTCTCCTTTGGCAGATACAAAAGCAGCAGGCACTATCTGGCCAGTAGAGCCAGTTGAGTATTTAATAGCTGAGTCGTCAAATTACCGCTTCTTTTCTAAGTAACTTCTCTGCCAGCTCAAGACTGGTTTTTCAGAGGCTTTTGCTACCTGAAACCACCCGTTTAATGCTCCTTGGTCCTGAACTCGGTTGTAATAATATGCAACAATCTGTTCTGCTTTGATGGGACACATGAAGGCTGGAGGGCCTGCTGGATGAAAATAGGGTAGAATCATTGAAATCCAAGGAGCTGCGGCCGCCTAAGCCAGCCAAGGGGCTGGCCTCGCACGAGCAGCCTCCCTTCCCCATCGGCTGTTAGAACTTCAGATTCTGGCTTCTTGCACAGTTTCACGAGGAATTAGTTTCCTCCTTGTTGTATGCAGATATTCTTTCCAGTGTTTGCTTGAAATTCCCCATTTCCACAAGCATACTGCCAAGACTTATTTCCTAGAGCGTTCACCTGAAAAGATGACTCTGATTTAAGAATCTGGATATTGCAGTGTACATCAGATCAGCACTGTCTGGGAGGACATGGGACGGGATGAGAGGGCACAGGCTATGGGGAGGGAGGGTTTGTCTGCAAGAACAAGTGATGAGGATGGGGCTGTGCTGGAGGCAAGAGCTGCCACTCTTCATGGGAGCTGGGGAGAGCAGCACTCCTTGTCCTGGTGAAAATGAAGAGGGATTCAAGTTGACAGTCTATGTTCTTCCTTGCTTCAAGGGTCACGTTACCCTGAAAGCTGCCCGGGAGATGCTCCCAGGCAGCACATGCTGTGCTCTGGGCTCCACACTAGGGCTCAGGCTGTAAGGTCTCCTTCCCTGAGCAGGTGATATGCCAGAAGGGCTACAGGCCAACCCTGTACACAAGAAGCATATCCAATCTCATCCCACACCTCACCTTGTCCTATGCAGGCCCCACAAAATAATATCAGTGCTGCTCCCAGAGGTGTGAGATAACGGGGTCCCAAGTCACCAGATCTGCAAGGGAAGGACATTTCTGAGACTCTGAGTCCTGCAGTGGCATCGTATCTAAGTGTGGAGCAGGGTCTGCTGATAAAAACTACAACCATCGACAAATCCAGGGGGGCTCCTGCTCTCCCACAGAGCACAGAGAGACTCATTAAACAAGGCAGGCTCCAGCACAGTAATTGGTAACTTTTATGTGCCTAGCTAATTAGAACAAGATACTGCTGAGGAGCTGCTTTCTCTGAGATCTCGGGTCACTCATTCAGAGATCTTTATTTATTTGCTAAGTCTTCCGGGCTCTCTGATTAGGGTAATACATGGTGAGATTTTTACAATCTTATTTATTCAATAATAGCTCGAGAGCTGGAAAGCTTCCAGATAAGGCAACCTGAAAAAAAAAAAATGCAGGTGGCATTTGAACTCCATTTCCTTGGGGAGGCTGGCAGGGTCCAAACTGAAAATGCTGGCAGGGACAGGACAGGACAGGAAGAGCTGATGATGTACAAGAGCAGAGAGGGCAGGCAGAGGGCAGCGATGGGGTTGAGTTAATTGCTTACAGAAGCATGAGGATAAAGTAGTGACTAAGGGTAAATTTTTCGATGAGCTGGGTGAGCAGCTATGCATGAGAAGCGGATGGGAAGTCGGATGCCTGGTTTGGGGGAGATGTTCTTTCCAGCTGTGTGTGACGGTGCTTGCAGAGTTGTCAGGCTTGTTTTGCTGCGCGGTTTTGGCAAAAGGGCCTAGAAGCCGGGGGGGTGGGGGGGTTTTGTTGTCTTTAAAGCCTATCTTTATCATTTCAAAGTGGGTAGTGTCAAATATTAATCACCTGCTGCTCACAAAAAGCAATGCCAGACCTGGAAAGCTACCTTCAGCAGAGACTTCTTGTGCTCATGCTGACTCAGACAGGAGGAGAAGTAGAGCCCGCATGTCTCCTGTCAAAAGCAGACAAGGCAGGTCTGGCCAAGCACTGGCTCTGGAGCAGTGTGGAAGGGGGAGAAGTTCTCTGCCTTTTGGTGGGACCAAGTAGCTTGTGCAGCAGCACTGAGTGGATGTGTCCTTGCTACTGGTGAGGCTGACTGCTACACGAGCCCCTCTGTTCCCTCCTGGATCTTGACTGAACACATTTGTCCAGTGAGAGGAAGATCTCGGCTTTAGAAACATTTCTTCTGTGCTTTCCAGTCTATTCAAGACATGACAGTTTACCAAGATGATCCACAGCCTCAGCTCTGAAGCATTTCATGCTCACAGATCCTCAAGTTGATCTTAATTCAAATGAGATGTGCTGGGCCACATATTCTAGGCTCTGGGTGTACAACAGAAAAAAGTAATTGTTGATGCTGGAGTCTACATCAGCACAGCCCTTGGGCTGGGGATTTTCCTGTCTATGTTTCCTCTGTGGCACTGAAAGCTGAAGGATCTCTTCTCTCCTTCCAGATATCATCCCCAGTTTCTGTGATCAACGGAGACATCCGAGGGAAGAAGATTGCCAACATCTCCGATGTGTGTGAATCCATGAAGCAGCAGCTGCTGGTGCTGGTGGAGTGGGCCAAGTACATCCCTGCCTTCTGCGAGCTGCCCCTGGATGACCAGGTGAGTCCCCCCCTGTCCACCCCACCTAGCTCTGCCCTGGCGAAGGCAGCAGGGAGCCAAAGGAGAGCCAGGCAGCTGAGACCTTCAAAGAAAATGTGCATTGTTCACTCTGTTATCCTGACTGTTGCAGCTGATTGGGAACGGCATCCATACAATGCCAGCACAGGCCATTTGCATGTGCAGCTAATCAGTTGATGAGCACAGGCAGGATAACACTGAGCTCAAATTAGATACGTGATCAGGTGTGTGTTTTGCATGGGTCTATCTATAATTATTTATTAATTATAGTTTGTGCAGCACTTTGAAAACTTGAAGTGCTATACAAATACTTCAGGTAATCAGACTTAGTAGGACAGATTTCTAGCCCAAGGTCTGCTCAAGATTTGAAACCAAAGCTGCCTATCTTTCTTTCTGCTTCTTGCCCAAGAAAATATTTGTATCCATTCTCCTGGTGTGGAATTACTGAAACTAAACACTAGTTTGCTCCCAAGGCAGTAAGAACATCTCTCTTCAGAGTTAAAAAACAGAAATATATTTGCATTTAACACATATTACTAAAATGACAATTGCTGATTCCAAAATCAAGCTTAGCACAGTGGGTTTGAAATCCTCTGTAAAACTATACTGCAGGATCTCAGGCAGCCTCAGAGAGATACACGGAGATGTCTCCTGCGTAAGTCTAAATTTTAGAGGTCTGCGGTAGATGTTGCAGGATATGATGTGTGCCCAGCCAGCATGTGGGTATGGTGGGGAGGCTCCAGAGGGATGGGATAGCATTTCTGTCAGTGGCCAGCACAGGTCCTGACACAGGTAGGAAGGTATTTCCAGTCTTCCCAGTGTTAGGTCATAAAACCAGCATGGGTCCTCTTCAGCTAGGATCAGTTTCTAGCTCTATTCACAGAATCACAGAATGGTAGGGGTTGGAAGGGACCTCTGTGGGTCACCCAGTCCAACAGGGTCACCTACAGTAGGCTGTAGAGGACCTTGTTCAGGTGGGTCTTGAATATCTCCAGAGAGGACACTCCACAACCTCCCTGGGCAGCCTGTTCCAGGGCTCCATCACCCTCAGAGGGAAGAAGTTCTTCCTCATGTTCAGATGGAACTTCCTGTGCTTACTGACCTAGACGTAATTTTTATATCATGAAGAAAAAAGGATATCCAGAAAGAGAGAGTATCCAGCTGATCAAAACCCCCTAAATCCTAAATCTGAGCTTTTCGGTAATCACCCAGCAGCACAGAGCCCCTGGCAATTCAGTGCTGTTAACACAGGGGCCTATTTCCCTCTTTCTTACTGCGTGCAAGTGCTAAATTGTTTATAACAGAAAGAAATCTGTTAAACTCCTAAGGCAAATACAACTCAACAATTATGAAAACTAGAGCAGGCTCCAATGGCAAATGACATTTACACAGCAAACAGGCTGCATCCCAGTGGAGGCTTGGGGCAGATCCACAAAACCCATTGCATCCTTGTGCCATTTGGAGCAGAGGCAGTAAACCTGGTAAAGCTGGTTAACAACTCTGCAAACTACAGCAATTTCCACATGAGCTCATTTTACAACTGTGGGGCTGAAAAATTTCTCAAATAAAAAAACAAAGCCTAAAAATGACATTGTCTGAACCCTGCCTTCTCACAGGGGAGAGGCTGCTCTCAGCATGCTGCGCACTCTCATCTCAGCTGAAACAGGTCTTCTGTTGTGACCAGCCATCCCCCATCACGAGTAGTTCCCAATCTGCCCCGAAGGGCTTGAGAGGAAAGACTGTGCTCCTTTAGAACTAATCAATTAAGGACATCCATACTTTCGAAGGACAGTATGAGAACACAGGCAGCAGATAGTCAGGTAGGACAAAAAGCCCACAGAGCAGAAATAAACAAAACTACGTGCAAGCCAGCTGCCCAAGGGGCATGAGAGCCAGTCAAGACATGTCCAGTGGGAACATTTAATGTTGGGAAATGCTGTTACATCATCATTAAAATATTGCTTGAGAATGAATCATCTCTGACAATATTTTTATAGGAAAGGTCATACCCAACCCCTCACTCTTCCTCTGCATCAAAATGTCAAAGTACTGGGTTTGGTGGGGAAAAGCCACTTCATTTCAAAGTTCTACTTTGTTGTGTTACAACTTTTATATTTATATTACTTCAGAATGGAATGATGTATCTCAGGTTGATCACTGCAAGAACAAATATCAAATGAGATGGTTTAGCCTTGTTGAAGTAATTTACTTTAACCTTGCTCAAACAAGCAAGTTTTAGGGAAACAAAAACGGTGGTTCCAAACTGAGCTTTCTTGGATTTGCATTAGGCAGGAAATTTCTACATGAGGGCTTTGCTCCCCCTTGGGACTCACCGTTTTTCCATCCTTCTCAAAGTTTCATCAGATAGGAAAGCTCAGTTTTATGCAGCTCTGCTAATTACAAGCAGCTCAGCTAACACATCCGCCCATGTTTGGATAGCGATAGAGGCTAGATTTTGGCGTATAGATAAAGGTTCCCCAGCATCATGTGTGCGTAGTCTTTCTGCAAGGACCTCCACTCTGTTTATTTTGCATAACTCTTTTTCACCCTCGACAAAAAAAAAAAAATCCCTCCCTCAGACATCAGCATCTTTTGTAACCAGAGCTCTCTTCTACGGGTGACACATTCTCCTGGCATTTCTGGTAGGGTAGGACTTCTCTTGGCTTTGTCAGATGGTGAGGGATAACACACTGGAAAAGGGGACCATTCGCATCAGGACACACTTTTCAGAATCTCTCCATTAATGTTTAATGACTGTTTTCTCCAGCAGAGGCTCCTGGCTGGACATTAAGAAGCCTCTGTGTCAGGCTGTCCAATCGTTAACTTCTGTTTCTACCTAAATCTCTGAAATTTTTAACTGAAGGAGGGCAAAAGATTCAGAACATTCTCAGGAGCCACTGGAGGGTGTAAAATGAAACACTTCAATCATTAACGTCAGGGCAGAAAAACATCCTTTTGGCTTCCCTGCCCCAAATGCCCATTGCTGCGGAGGGAACAAATGACCAGAGGGCAACCCCCCAGCCGGGCAGACGTGGGTCCGCATGAGCGCAATTCCAGTGGGAGGTGGGCACGGCCACAGCAGCGGAACGCACTTCTCCCCGCGTCCCAGGCTGGAGCATGGTCCCTGGTTCCGCACTTGGTAGGAGCTGCCTTGTCTGCAAACAGCCCACTGTGAACATGTCCCACCGCTGGCATGAGGTCCTGGCACAGTCCAGCGTGGTCTTGCTCATGACAGGTGCCATGAATATGGGATGTTTTAGGTGTTGCCTATCATCTACTGGTTCTGATGGATTTATAGCTGTTTATGCACAGGAGTAAACCATTTTTTTACCTCTTTCTCTGACTGTGACTGGAGAGCGGCTCTCACTTCCCATCCCTGAGTGCAGTACAGGAATGCTAGGCTTTCCCTCTTGCTTACGTGAAATCACAGCCTTTTCTCTGTCCCTGCATCACCCAAATAACTTTTCCCTGCCCTTGCAGGTAGCACTGCTGCGAGCACATGCAGGGGAACATCTGTTACTTGGAGCTGCCAAGAGATCCATGGTGTTCAAGGATGTCTTGCTGCTAGGTAAAGAGTGCATTTCTGCTCTCGGCCCATCTACTGCTGTGAAGCTTCCGTGCCAGGGTGAAGGAGGGGGTGTTCAGTGTTTGTGGGCATCCTTTTTGCAGGGTGGTGGCTTCAGCTCTTCTGTATTTTAGCGAGCCTATCACAACCTTTGGGTGCAGCTAGGCCTGGCTGACATTCATATGAAGGCCACGATACGTGGCAAAGTTGGGGGACTATGAACATTCACATTGCTCCCCCAGGTTTGTGTAAGCAGGCTGTTGAGTGATTGAGAAAAAGGCTCTCAGTCCTCGGTCAGCTTTTCCTCGCTTGAGTGACTCCTGTGTAAGGAGAGGCTGCTCTGACAACACAGATCAGCATCTCTGGCAGGCTGAGCCAGGGAAGGGGCAGAAGGAGGAACATTCTTAAGTCCTCCGCCCTCAGAATTATCTCAGCATTGCCACTTGGGTTTTGAACTCCTTGCCACCCTTGATAAGCCTTGGGCAATGACAAGGCGATGGTCTCTGTGCTGCTTGTCAAAAGGAAATGACCACATCATCCCACGGAACTGCCCCGAACTGGTGGAGGTGAACCGCGTGGCCATCCGCATCCTAGACGAGCTGGTCCTCCCCTTCCAGGAGCTGCAGATAGACGATAACGAGTATGCCTGCTTGAAAGCCATCATCTTCTTTGACCCAGGTATGCTCCAGCTTGGTGAGGGTTACCATTAGTGGGGAGTAGTCTGCGTTATGCCGACTAATACTGGTCCCAAGTTGTGGAAATGCTGCCTGGTCTCCTCTCTGGGCCAAACTGTTCTTAGAGAGAGGGGAGAAGTCAGCCTAATTAGAGAAAAAACATCCATTACAGCAGATGATAGAGAATCAGAGACAGCTCACCTCAGCCTATGCCCAGACTTCATGATATTATGGAAGGGCAGCTCCTGGGGAAGCAGCCTGGATAGTTTGCTCTGTGGGTTGTTTCAGATGCCAAAGGACTGAGCGACCCCTCCAAGATCAAGCGGATGCGGTATCAGGTGCAGGTCAGCCTGGAGGACTACATCAACGACCGGCAATACGACTCACGGGGCCGCTTTGGAGAGCTGCTGCTGCTGCTGCCTGTGCTCCAGAGCATCACCTGGCAGATGATAGAACAGATCCAGTTTGTCAAGCTCTTCGGCATGGCTAAGATTGACAACCTGCTGCAGGAGATGCTGCTGGGAGGTGAGTACTTGAGGGTCCTGCAAGACACCTCTGAGTGCTCCCAGATCACCATCCCCTTGAGAACTTCCATAGCCAACGCTCCCTACCCAAAATAGGTGGAGACAGCCTGTATGCGGGTTAGCCATTGACTCACAAAAAATCATCTTCCTGTGTCATTGGCAATGGTAACACGAGGATCCTCCATTTCTATTCCATAAAGAGATGCATTAGCTGTGCATCTACTTATGGAGAGGTGTCCCCAGCCATCTGCATGTAGACAAGCTTTGCTGTGCAAGCCCCAACCTCCTACCAGCCAGCTGGTTCACTAATCCTCCTCTGTGTCAGAAGGGAGTCATCAAAACAGAAGAGTCTGAAAGCTCAGGTGGAAAGAGCGTCCCAGATTTTCTACTGGGAGCATCCAATGGGACAAAACAAAATGAGAAGTTGCCACTGTACTGTTCTTTATGTGGAGGTGTGACTCAGGAGGAGAGGAATATAATCCTGTCTAAGGGGAAATGCAGGCAGCAGGCAGGGGTTAGTGAGCCCCAGGCATCCACGGAGGCCAATGGGAAGGGTGTGCTCCAATCGGCTATGCACAAGCTGATCACACGCAAAGCCTTCGATGTTTTGGTGCTGCCCACCTGAACTGTCTCCTTCTGTCATCCTGGCAACTAATGTCATATGCACTTTTTTAGGCTCATCAAGTGAAACGCCACATGCTCACCACCCCCTGCACCCTCACCTGATCCAGGAGAATCTGGGAACAAATGTCATTGTGGCCAACACCATGCCTCCTCAGATGCACAATGGGCAGATATGTGAGTATGGCCAGAGAGACAGAGAGCTTCCAGGAGAAACCGAGAGCTTTCCAGAGTGCCTGTGGAGGTAGTTTCTACCTCGCAAGGAAATTTCTATGCAAGACAGAGTCTCTGATAATGAGTGTGTGAGAAATTCCTATGCAGAAAGGAGGGAAAGACAAACGGAGAGGTGGGTTACATTAGATTAGGCTAGACTAACTGATTCAACAAGATGTTCCCTGGCAGACTGTAACTTTTACATAGCCCTTAAGGGATGAATGATGCCATCCAGTGCTACTGAAATCAGTGGAAAGCCTCTCCTTCCCTTGAATGGTTCAGACACACCTCAGTTCTCCCTCTGCAAAAACAAAGGAGAATCTGTGCCACCACACAGGGCCACCACCCAGGGCCATCACTTGGGAATTTGGGCTGAGATGACCTCAGCTGTCCAAAAGAGTGGCCAGTACATGTCAAAATGCCAGCAGCTCCCCTCATTCGATGCTCATCACAGTGATTCTCCCATGGCATCTAACCATGCCTGCGTGTCCGGGCTGCCTTGCAGCAAACACACAAGCCATTAGGAGCTCTGGTTTTGCTACAGAGCCTTTGCTTTGCTTACCCCTGAACCTGGCATGACTGAGGACAGATCCCAGCGCTGTCAAGTCTTCTAATTTTGTTTCTCTCTCTGTAGCTACTCCAGAAACTCCACAGCCATCTCCACCTGCGGGCTCAGGACCAGAGCAATACAAGCTGCTGCCCGGAGCCATTGCAACTGTGACAAAACAGCCCACCTCCATCCCACAACCCGCCATCACGAAACAGGAGGTCATCTAGCAATCTACAGACCAGCTGGCCTCATTTAGAAGACCTTGTGGGACAAAAGCCCGAACTGACTCTGCCACTGTGAAAAGAGAAGCCATCCAGAGGTCCTTGGGCGCAGACGCACAGACTTGCTTATTGAACTAGTCCACCACCACCAAAAGCTGTCTTCCTGCAGCTACGGACACCATGTGCCATGGGCAGCCCCCAGTCCCAGAGCTAAGGCTGAAGCCTTACTGAAACCCTCAGTCCTTGTAAGCAGAGCCAGATTTCTGCCTCCGTCCGCGAGGAGGGTGCAGTGCCTGGCTGGGGACAGTGCAGCTGGCTGTTCTCCTGTTGCCACCTCTCAGCGTTGGTTCAGCACACACCAGATCCTGTGAAGAAGCAATCCTCTGTGCTGTGTGAATTGAGGGCTTCCCTCCTGCAGCCATGCCAGTTCCTCAGACAGTCCCCAGTCCAGCCAAACTTGATGGAGATGGAAGCTCCCCCAGGAGCACCGCAGCAGGTGAAGCACATGGGTTTTGCCCAGGCAGCACTGGCAGAACAGCTCCTCAGCCTTGACTAGTCCCAGGTCTTTGGATGGTATCTCCCTCCAGCACAGTAATCCCCCCAGCCAGGTCTAACAAATCTTTTCAGCTGATACTGGGGCAAAGCCTGACCCACCAGCGTTCTCCACTAATTGGATCCTTCTGCCTTTTGAGGGGTTTTGTTACTTCTGTGCCATGACCATCGTCCCACTACAAGGCTCAGAGAGGCAACCACTGCCAAATCCTTCCCTTACACCACTTACTGCCTCCTTGCTGACTGGACTGGGAAGTTGCAGGACGATGGGATTCGGGAGATTTCAGCTAATGGGACGGGCTGGCAGTGGGCAGCAGTGCCCAAAATATCACGGCCCCACTACTGCTTCTCAGCAGTCAGAAGGAGACCACTGGATGAGTATTTGGAAGGAAGCCACGGGGATAGATGTACGAAGGGAAGAGACCTGTGAGGTTGAGAAGAGCCCAAGCCTCAGACTGAACCAAGGTTTTGGGCTGCCCAAAGTGCTGGGAGCATTGTAACCCAGGATCTCAGCTTAGACCCAGCTTCAATGCTAAGATCTGCCATACAATCCACTTGTCCAGCCCAGTGCCACTCCCTCATCTTAGAGTGAGTGGCTGATAACAGATTTATAAGTCTTCATAACACGTTAAGAATTCGTTATGGCTCCTTCAGACCTCAGAGGGTTTGAGGGCAGCAACCTCAAGAACACAATGCTTTGAGTCCTGCAAAGAGTGACAGAGGTCAAGGAAAGACCATGTCTTGCCCAAGCCCCTTGGGTCTGCCCCAGCCTGCCCTGCTCCCTGCTTGCCACAGCCTCTGTTTTTCTGTGCCTGCCCATGCTGAAACCCCACTGATCTGACCTTTGGTTTATAACTGAAACCAGGAAAGGAGGCCTCCCGTGCCCAGCGCTTGCGTCTCCGGGTGCTGGCAGGGCTGGAGCTTGCAGAGCCCTGCACGAATTCAGGCCAGAGTAATTTCTGGCAGCATGAGGCAACAGCAGCTCTAACTAGGCATAGACTGTGTGGGGTGCTGGCCTCTTGGGATACTGACGCTGGTGGAACCACAGTTGCGAGAGGTTCCTGGTGGGGACGAAGCTGAGCCACCCAGCCAGAGGAGCTGCAGGTCTGTCCCTTGATTTCCAATGCAAAAATGAAACACCTCACCTTGCGCTGAGGGTGTGAGAAGTATTGTATCGTCTCTCAACGCTGGTGGCATCATATCGAGTAATTTATTGCAATGATGAATCCAATCATTTTCTGTAAATTATTTTGTAAATCACATTGATTATTTATAATTGGGAGATTAAATGCAAAAAACCCTATAATAACCAGGCTGTCTTTTCCAACTGCAGCAACCTTTTTTCCTGTATGTAGAGAAACTCTGTGGGGAATCCTTTCCGGTCCATTTGCATCAAGCATTCCTCGATACTGTACATTAATTTTTGCTGGTTACTGCCTTCCAATGGAAACAGAGGAATATTTCTTCACTAGAGTTTGTATTCATAAAATTAACAAAAAAAAAAGAAATAAATGCAAAAATATTTTCTAAGTTTTCCCAGACAGATGCATTTCTTTCTTCTGGGAGGATTTATTTTAAATCAAGGGGCTCACCTCCCTGTTGGTCTGAGCACAAAGCATATGTGTATTGAGGAAAAAGCCCAAACAAATGTTTGACGCTGTCGCCAGCTCTCACTATTTCCTGGCAAGCCTCACGCTAGCTGGTGTCTGTCCTGAAGCCACATGTGCTGGAATCATAAGATTGAATGACAATATCAATTTTCATTAAAAGAAAAACAAACATGAGGAATAAATATTTGCTTTCATGATTCCAGGGAGCTTAAAGACTTGAAATAACCACACTCCAAAAGCCAAGCAAAGGAAGCCAAAATGAGTTATCAGCATTTCAAACATTCATTTTTAAGTCCCTCTTGTATTTCAAAGGTAATTTCTGAGCACTTTGGGGTGACGATTCCGCTTTGGTTCACTACTGCTGGCAGCAGGTGCAGCCAAAGTCAGACTGAGCCTACAGGGCACAATAAGACGATAAAGTGAAAGTCAATTTGTCACTGGTTGTAAAGGTGAAGAAATACACTGACAATTAGAGAGGGCTCTTAATGACCTGCTCTTCTGATCACAGGAGCCTGCTCTCAGCTGTAGCATGCCCAGGAAGATAACAGGAAGAGGGGAGAGAGGTCTAGATGGCTGTAAAGATTAGGTATCTGGGGAGGAACAACATTCAGCATTTTCAGCTTTGATCTGCAGCAGATGCCCTCAAGTTCCCCCATCTCCCGTCCTCAATGTGAAATGAGGTGGGCAGTCTCATCCCAGGTACGAGGGCTTAAGAAGCAGCCTGATTTTCCACCCTGCTCCTTGCATCATGACCCTCCATGCACATCCAGCAGCTTTCCAGTGACAGTCATGCTGGTGAAAACCGGCAGCAGGTGCGCGATGCAGGGACAGGATTCAGAGCTGCGTTTGAGGACCATGTGGAGACAGCACTTCGAGCCTGCCTCCACTCTGGTGGCAAGGACCTGGGAGAACACGACAGGCATCAGATAGCATGCTCTCAGTAGGTGTGCACCCCTGATGATCTGCAGCCCCAGCGCCATCGCTAAACGCCTGAACAAGGTCAGCAAAGGCAGTCATAGGACACGCATTATCTCAGCACACATGCAGCGACCGAGTGGTTAGACCAGTCAAAAGAAGGAAAAGGAGTTAGTTCCTTCTCTTTAACATGGAGTCAAGATCAGGACTCCTCTGCCTGCCACAGGGACCCTGTGACCCACAGTTGGTTTTACCCAGGCATATGCCCTAAAAACTCCATATATGTAATATCAAATCTTTGAAGCAATAAATTCTCCTGGTTTCCTTCCCATGAATCGCTCTATCAAGGTTGCCCTTTACCTGGTTAATCTTAAATCAGCACAGTCCCTACAGGAGGTTTCTTACTGCTTGATTCAGCTCACTTGGAAAAAAAGCCACAAACTGCTCTAGAAACAACCTTGTCCTTAAGTGGCGTCCTCAATCCCAACCCTCATCTCTTCTGTCACTCCAGCTTGGAATCACCCTGAGACACCAGTCTTGCTGCTCCTGGGCTGTGTTTTATCCTGCTGGGCTCCCTGGAGCCCACAGGCAATGTCCCATGTCACAGGACATGGCTGCTGTGAGGATAGCTAGTTTCAATCTTTAAGACACAACTTCCTTACATTATTTTTGGACAAAAGAGCTTTTTACTGTCCTCTTCTGTGCTTGCAACCTAGACTAAGGATGATTTCCTGGAAAGCAGTATCTCCAGCTGCAAGATCTTTTCACAATGTCCAAGCAAAGATCTGTGAAAGTGGTATTTTTAGGTCCTCTGGCCACTACGAAATGCATTCTTTTCATATTCCTTATATAAGCTGCATCTGAAATAGCCAATGGGCTTTGGAGCCTTTTCCACATCATATCTCAGAGAGGAAAAAAAAAAAAAAGAACAGCAAACGAGTTTTATGGCCTGCATATCATCTCTGACAAAAGCAACTATTGCTGCTATTAAACTTGCAATTGCACACACAGGCACAGATAGTCATGAACAACAAGAGGCAGGGGACAGCTCAGCAACGTGGCACTGCTGAGCCAGGCAATTCTGTGTGCCAGGCTGGCCAGTTCCCTCAAGGCTGAGTGCAAATATCACCAACCAGTTTGGGAATTCAGGCCACGCACTGAACAATCCCTTTCCACTCAGAGTGGCTGGAGGAGGAAGGGTAAGGTGTGGGTATGTTTAAAATCCCTCTCCCCATTCCTAATTGAGGTGTGACCCTGATAATCATAAACACACCTAGCACCTGAAATATTGTCAGCTAGGCAAATAAAAATGGCAATATACCATCAGCTTTGTTAGGTGTGGAGTGAGCAGAAGAGCTCAGCAGAAACAAGACTGCAGTCACGTCCTTCAGTTCAGTGTCCTGTGTAACAGAGAAGACTGCTGGGGTCAACTGAGTGCTCCTAGTTCAAGCCCAGGAGGAGCAGAGCTCTGAGTCTAACCTGGGTCTTGGGAAGGAAGGTGGTTTGGGAACTGTCTTTCCAAGGCTTACTCTGGCTTTTGGATCTAAAGTGATGCCAGGCTTGCCTGATCGCGGCTGCTTCATCAGCTTTCGGAAGCCTGAGGCCACCCCTAACTTCAGCTGCAGAAGATATGGGAACACAAACCACCGGGCTCTGCACGCCATGCTCCATTTCAGTCCCTCACATCTGGCAGCTCTGCCTGGCTGGGACCTGCAGTCGCTTGTGACACCAAGCACACACAAAGACCAGAGAGCCCTTCTGAGAACGGGGCACACCACACCAGATGACTCTGGTCTCGGGGAGCTGTTATGATTCCCCACCTCCTTCTAGAAACTGCCACGAGCGCAATAAGCAGTGCAAGAGCTGCCTGAGGGACATGCCTGGATAGACACCCGCAGCAGAAAGCATCGCGAGCCGGACAGGAATTCC